GCGCGCGCAGAGAGAGAGAGAGAGAGAGAGAGAGAGAGAGAGAGAGAGAGAGAGAGAGAGAGAGGGGGAGGGAGGTGTGTGTGTGTGTGTGTGTGTGTGTGTGTGTGCGCGCGCCATGGAGTGGAGGGAGATCCCCTCCCCCACTTGCCAATCAATCAATCAATCAATCAATCAATCAATATCCTTCCTTGCCTCTCCGTCTATCATCTCAAATTAAGGTTGATCCGTGCTATTGTCTATTTGAAGTTTCTCTACTGCGTTGGCCTGCTCTATTTGGTGTAGACCTTACTCCTCGGGGTGTTGGGTTCCGTAGGGTGGTTGGTATTGTCCGTACTTACCTTTATTAGTTGTCTGCTAGAAGTCTGGCTTCTAGCTCAGTTAGTCGGGAAGATTAGCTTGACATTTGGCGCACCTTTATTAGTTGTCTGCTAGAAGTCTGGCTTCTAGCTCAGTTAGTCGGGAAGATTAGCTTGACATTTGGCGCTAAGTTGTTAGTGAGTAGGGATATGAGATGGTTCTGATACTACTTATCTATATGGAGGTTGTCGTAGGGGTCCTTGATCAGAGTGCGTGTTAGCCGAGTATGGTCCAGGGGTGTGTGGGAGCTGTGGTTTAGTTGGTCTATGCTTTGCCTTCTCCAACCTAGGGGGAGTTCATGTGGGTTAACACCTTCCCAGAGTGTAAAAATTAGACTTTGACGCTTGATGTGGGCTATTTTACCCTTTGCTAGGTAATTTTCTTCGAATTTCTGTTTCTGTTCCTTTGCGGTGGGTTCGTTTGCTTCTATTCCTCTTCTTGCTTTGCGCCATATGACCCAATATTCGGTTTCAACCTGTTGTTGTAACAGGAGCCATGCTTCGTTTAAGTGCATTGGTTGCTTAGTGTTTCTTGGCACCTTTTTCTCCAAATAACCCAGAGTGTTGCTTTTCTGAGGATTTGGAAGAAGTTATTTTGTTGCTGGGTCCGATCTTCCGGGGTTGTAAAACCCAGCAGTAGGAGGGTGTGGTTTGTTGTAAAGGGCGTGAAGAACACCGAGTTCCATATCTTGGTTATTTTGTCCAAAATCGGTTTTATCTTGGGACAGAGAAGAAAGCAGTGAAAGAGGTCCTCTCTTTGACCCTCCTGGCAGTTGGTGCACAGTTCCTTCAATGGGCTCCTGTCCTCCTTCCTCCTTCTGACATTCAGCCATTGGTTCAGGAGGATGGCCAAGTACAATATTAGCCATTGTAGGCTCCTGAACTTGGGGGGATGTCGGGTTGTGATTTGGTTCCACGGGATCTGGGTTAGTTTTTCGGGGTCTACTTCTAGATGTTTCAACCATCGTTCGACTATGATTGGTTCTGGGGCTACTGATCTACGTCTTAGTCTGTATCCTAATCTAGTTGTGTACTGTAAAATGTTGAATTTGAGGTTGATGCCTGATGGGCTCTGTTTGAGGTTCCATGCCCACTCAGCCGGGTCTATTTCCAAATTTCTAGTGGAGTTTGAGGGTGGAAAAGGGTGAGGTCCTCGTTCTCTATTACTCTGATTTTCGTAAGTTGATCCTCTCTGACTGTGATGAGTGATGTTGAGTCCTTGCTGACTTTGCTGATCTCCATGTTTGGTTCCTCCAACTTGTGCATGGTGAAGTTGTACTAGTTGTTTCTTCCTTCTATCCTTCCTGCAAAGGCTAGGGTATGTTCTAGGGGGATGATTTGTGGCATTATTGCCCAATCTCCTGTTAACCATTGTCTGTTTTTTCGGAGGACCTGACTCCATTCTGTTGGTATGGCTTTTAACATTTGTTGGAGATTTTGGGCTACTAGGTTGTGGCTACCCTTGAGTTTACTGCGGAGTTGTCGGAGGTTCATCCAATCTTTCCTATCTTCATCCCAGATGTGTTCGACTTGCCAGATTCTTTTTTCTAGCTAAGTACCCCATTTCGAGTCCTTTGCCATGAGGGTGAATGGCGTTTCGCTGTCGGCTAGTATCCATGGGTTGCAGAAGAGAGGTTGTCTGAGTATTTCTTCCTTAGTGCGTGGGTGTCTGACCTTGGCCGGGAATATTTCTTTCCATGACTGGAGTATTGTTCTCCAGAACTTTAGTCTTGGTTCGCTTCGTGATTGATCCTGGCTTGCAGCTTTTCTTTTTATTGTCCATGACTTACTCATTATCCAGAAGCTACCCTCCATGTTTTCAGGTTTGTTGTAGACCGGCAGTTGTTGTAGGCCCTTTAGGGCCAGCGGTTGCCACAGGAGTTCGAGAATAGTTATTAGCTTTAGGATCCATTTGGTTTGTAGGGATTTTATTTGAGTGGTTGGGTCCAGTACTCCCAAACCCCCTTGGCTTTCTTCCCAAGTCACATTTTGCCATGCTACCTTTGTGATGAAATGTTGTCTGGAGGCGTCCCCTGTCTAGAGGTAGGCCGAGGCTTTCCTTTGTATGTCTTTTAGTGCCTTCTGGTTCGGGGACCAGAAGGCTGCCACGTACCACATCATTGAAAATATGGATGAGTTGAGCACTAAGGCTCGAC